AATATAGGCAATTTAGGGTCTTTCAGTTCCGAGAACTTAATCTTTTATTCAAGTTGTCTATGGTATGTCTATAGATTGCTGTTATGAATGGGATTTCATTTTCATGTTATATTCTAAACTCTATTGATAGTAGTAAGAAATATATTGTTTTAGCATATTGGTTTTCTGTCTACATTACTGACTCTCATTGATTCTTACAGGGTTTTTTTGGGTGGATTCTCTTGTATTTTCACTTTAAAGAATTATATTATCTGCATAGTATAAAAACCAATTTCACGTTATTCGTTTAATAAATTAAAGCATTGGTTAATACTTCCAGCAAAATTATAGTAGTCACACAAGGCATTGTGTCTTATAGGTAATATTAATAGGAATAATTCTCATTTTAGAATTTCTTTGTTAAAGGAAGATACTTTTCATCTTGTTTATGAAGTACTTCATTATTTGGGGATCTTAAAACATTAGGGATGCATATATTCATCACAAATACTTAGCAAAATTTATTGAGTTGGCAAGTGAATTTTTCTCATGTCAAATACTGAAAAAGTTTGTTTCTTAATTGTTTCCAACTGTTGGGTTAGAAAGCATTCTCATATATTGCTGAATACATTATCAATTGGTATAAAAAAGCAATTTGGCAAGAGTAGTAAAATGATCTTCCAAGTTTCATACCTTTTAAACAGTAAGTGTATTTCTGGAATTAATAAATGACAGAAAATAAGTAAGTCAAAAAACCGTCCTCTCAGCATGATATGCTGATTATCATTTGCCTCCTAATATGATTCTATCAGACCTTCCCTAAAAATACATTTAAAAATGTTTTTTTAAAAATTCTATCCACCCTGATTTTGATACTTTATCTGCATCCTTTAGTTTTCCATTGTTGAACATATATTTGAATGGCTGAATGACAAAACAAAAGACTTAGATGTTCATTAAGGATGATTGCACACACTACAGGACTGTTTTAAGCTGTGTTCCTTAACCAAATGTACTAATACACAGGAAGAGACAGTTCCTCTGTAACAGTCTTGGAGTAACCACTTTCTAGGGGCTAATGTCATTCTACCATCTACTAGCTGAAATTAGAAGTCCTTGTTTAGATTAAGATTACAGAAAATGTATCTCTTTTAAACAAAATAACAGTAATAACAAAAACCAGCAGAAATTTTTATAGGATATGTGAAAGTTCAAAGTCGCTAGCTTTTATCAATTACATAAGTAAATATTAAAAACCTTTGGTAACTCTTGGTGTATAGTAGATTGAATAATTAGAATATATTTTTTGATATGTTAAACTACAGATTAAATTGCTTTGACCTTTATTGATGAATTCATATAATTTGAATTTTTAAATCTGCAACATTTCATCTAGGTTCTAAGCATTCACGATTCCCCATACCTTTTTTATTTTTATTTTTCAGCAGAGAGCCTCATCACAAAGACACTTACAGAGTAAATCTTTTCAATAGCAAAAAGGATGTATGGCATTATATATCCGGCTATAAGTAAATCTGACAACATCCTAATATTCTAAGAACTTTTTATATTGGTTTGCCCATGTGGGTGTGAGGATCAAATCATTACTGTTGTAGCTACATAACTTTCACCCGATCCAGAGACACACATACATAAGCACACTTATGAGTGACACAAAACGGTTTCTGGACCAGCTGATCTACATTTTTCTTAGTACAATCCATAGGCTTGAAGAAAGCCTATTTCTTGGCTATGTGAACAGTAAGAATGGCATCAATTACCCATTTCCTCACTGTCTAAAACATTGTCACAAAACAAAATATTCTCATATGCTGAGCATTCTTTCCCTCAGAATTGATGTGTCTGAAAACAGGTGATCTCTTGATAATACTTCCTGAAAGATATCAAGAGTGCACATATGCCAATATTTCTTTTCTGCATAGAACTGAAGGAACAAAGATAGATTTTCATGCATCTTAGAACACGATGCGTATAAAGTTAATGACAGCAGCCAAGTGCCCCAAGCTTCAGATGTTTCACTGTGTACAGCTCCTTCTCCAATTTTAAGTCCAAAGAGTATGTCTAGATCTTTACTGGTCCATCTTTCAGAAGGCCATTACAATAGAGCCTCACAACCTCTTACAATGGAGGTTTATCATTCTTGCCTCATTTCACCCAAGAGACGGTCAGCAGAGTACATGTTTGTATGAGTGGGGGGCAGGTCTAATTTCTA